GGTTGGAACTGGATGATCTTTAAGGTCCCTTCCAACCCTGACCATTCTGTGATTCTATGAAGTCCACTTTACCTGGTGGACTTTGCTCAAACTTACTGGAAAACAAATTCTACTGGAGAACATTTGTAGTTAATTCTAGTTAATTACTCCCAGGACTGGGTCAGGGAAGCAAGAGAGAGAAAACAAGGCTATAGGAATGGGCATAGTAAAATGGCAGTGCTACAGCAGGTGTGTGGAGATCTGTGGCATCTTGTGAAGGAGAAAAGTTCTGTGGCTGGTTTCCCACAGGTTACCTGCGACAACCTGGCATCATTTCAAGCCATGATTATTTCATCTTGCAGGTTCAGGCGATGTTTGTAGCTTTTTGTTGACCCATCTGCAGTTGCAAGATTTATAAACGTTTTGTTATCGGTGCTTTCCAAATGGAGCAACACGTGTCTGTTCCTGGCTCCTGCGCTAAAGCCAGAAGTTAGCGTTTATTCTTACATGAAGGTTTCAAGGGTGCCAGGTGCCTCCTTCAGTGCTAGACCAGGAAGTCCGTGTCTCCACCAGTGTGTGTCTCAGGAGAAGGAAGCTTCTCTATTTCTGCTGGTTCCGGATTTTGCAGTGCTCCGCCGCTGCGGTTCGCAAGAGCTTACTGACATTATTGATGTTGCCGCCTTGGGATTGAAAATCATCACCTGGTTCTGAGGAGAGGCTTCAAACAAGAAGCGAGGAAGGAGGAGCTGCTACTGCTTGATACATCTTTGGCTGCAATTAGACCAAAAAGAGTCTCCTGGGAACACAGGGTGGCTCGTGACAAAGAAAACGTGGTACAACGGAGCTTGAGTTTTTCCATTGGCCTGATGACAAGCTGCAGTGGCAACCACAAAATCAGAGCGCAGCTGAGGTGGGAAGGGACTTCATGGGCTGTCTAATCCAACCTTCCTGCTCAGAGCAAGGTCAGCTACAGCAGACTGCTCAGGGCCGTGTCCAGTCGGGCTTCATATATCTCCAAAGGAGAAGACTCCAGAACCTCTTTCAGCAACTTGCTGTGGTGTTCAGTCACCCCAGTGTTTAAATACTTGCTAAATGAGGAGTCACACAGTAAGTCTGCCTGGCCCAACTCCTTGGTTGGAGACCATGTCATTTTTCCTGAGCAGCAATCAAGCCAGCCTTTAATGGCTATCCTCAAAACCCAAAGATGGAGGTTGTTGTAGGTCCCTTCCAACTCTAATCTTGTATTTTGTTCAATCCAATTTGACTCTTCTTCCTCTTTCTTTCCCTTCCAGCACATGCTGAGGTAAATCTTCGGTGACATTTCTTCCCAGCCCTGCACTAGTAGAAGGGATTGAATGGGTGACCATGTCCCATCCTAGGCATTGGCAAGTACTTTCTGATGAGAGCGTTTCTTCCTTCAGCACATAAACTTCCTTCCATTTTGAAGGTGACGGCCTGTTTGCTGTTCACAAAATCCTGACTGACCAGCCAGTCGGCAATTCTCCACCCTTAGGTCACCCATCATGGAAGACGATCTGGAATGAGGGATTGCTGCTTCATTTTCTCCTTTAGAAATGGTTATGGTTGCCCAGCTTGGATAGTTGGATTGAATTTAGAAATAAATCCAGAGTCTGCCAGCTCGATGTGAAGCGTAGCTCCTTCAAGGAGAAGTTCCGAAGCAGCCGGGTAGGATGAGAACTCTTGAGATGCGTGAGGAGGCTGAACAAATGTTGTGTCTGGAGGGCTTTCAGATGAGCAGCTCCAAACACATTCCTGTTATTTAAAAACACGTTCCAAACTAGGCACCCCCAGGTGCTGTGCTTTGAAGGAGCACATGCTTCCTAAGCATCGCCGTGCCGCTCCTCCTTCGCTGGCGCTGGATCCAGTCGAGTCTGTTCAACCGGATTAAGCCCAACTTGACAACAATCTCCCATTTTTTCCACCTTTCTTGAACAGTTTTTTGAATCTGCTACTGTCTGTGACCTTTACAATTTTCCCAAGATTCCAGCAACCTTCATTTGGACCGCTCTGGCCAAGCCGCCAGGATGAGATACCATGAAGACCCTAATCTTGATGAGGCACTCTTAGAGTGTCATCTAAATCAGCCTCTTTGCCCGTCTTCTTTTCCTGTGCTACTTAGAACTTGAAGAAAAGGAATTGTGTGCACCTAAATTACTCAGAATTTGCCTTGATGCATTGACAGAAACAACTGGTTCTTTTTTAGAACCCAGATTATTTCTTGTCCTGCCCAGCCACCAGAAAGTTATCTCTTTGCTGTACTGTCAACTGACGTGTGCACCCCTCACGCTTTGTGTTGGACTTCGTTTTCCCAGCGATATCTCACTGAACTTCTAATTTTCCCGGCAATATCTCACCGAACTTCTGAATCCATAAAAAGAGGAGGGATTGCTCAGAGTGTTAAAGAGCTAAAAACGCACTATAACTGCAAATTTAAATGTCTGTTCTCTTGTGCAGAGGGCAAAGGAGTTTCAACCCTATAAATATTAAATTATGTTTTTAAAGAAGAACTCCAGAACTTTCTGAGGTTGGCTATGAACACCCATAGCACCATATTTAATGACATTAAATATGACATATTTAATTGTCTTTGCCAATGGAAATCTCGAAGTACAAGTATTTGGCACCTACAGAGGGATGGATTTCCTGCATGACTGCACACATTTTATGATTAAATTTTTTTCTGACCAGCTATATTTAATCTTTGCGGACATACTTTTTTTCCCTCAAATTTGGCTAAAGTACTTCTAATGAGAAAATTTACTGATAATATTTAAAATTCAGAAATACAAGATTCTTTCTAAAATTCATTTGATTAATTCTGAGTATGAATCAGTGCCTGAGATACTAATTAGTGAATG